GGGGATTTCTGCGCATCGAATTCGCGCCGGGTAACAGTTCGCTCTGACGGGAAAACAGTTTTGACTGTTTCACCCCTACAGCCGAAAATGGACAAAAGGCCAGAAACAGTCAAAAATAACTAATTACAATTTATATAGACTATTGGGTAATAATCCACAATAACCCACTCACAGCTCATCATAAACCGCTCATACATATCCCACTCACAGCTCATCACAGTCCAAATACAGCCAACTTACAGCCCACTTCAAGCCCGCTCATATCCCACTCACAACCCACTCACAGCCATCTAACAGTCCACTTACAGCCTACTTCCATCCCACTCACAGCTCATCACAACCCACTCATAGATATCTAACAGTCCACTTACAGCCTACTCGCATCCTATCCACAGCTCATCACAGTCCAAATACAGCCAACTTACAGCCCACTTCAAGACCGCTCACAGCCCACTCACAACTCTCTCACAGCAAACCCACAGATCATCATAGCCCACTCACAGCCATCTAACAGTCCACTTACAGCCTACGTGCACCCTCTCACAGCTCATGACAACCCACTCATAGCCTATTTACAGCCCACTTACATATCATTTACAGCTAATTTACATCCCGACGACAGCCCACTCACAGTTCATCATAGTCCAATCACAGTTCGCTCACATCCCACTCATAGCCCACTCACAGACCACTCACTGTCTACTCTGATCACACGTATTGCCCGCTCGAATCCCACTCACAACCAACTTACAGTCCACTTACAGTTCATTACAGCCCATACACTGCCAACTCATAGCCCACTTCCAGCCCACACACCGTGCATTCACAGACCATTCGTAGCCAAACTCACTGCCTTATTACAACTCACTTACAGCCCACTTACACCCTACTCACAGCCAACGTACATTGTGGCATTCAGTTCTTAGGGTAAACAGGCATACACTGAGGATAACAAATGAGGAGCACAGCATCACCACCATGTTCCAGGTTTCAGATAATTTAGATATGCAATAGCCATTACAATCTGCTGCTGTTGAAGATAAAGTTCTGCACGGAAAAGAATATTTCGGCACTTTCCCTATCATTTAGTGTGTGATCACCCCATAAAAGAACATCTACATTGTCATGAATATCGTATTTTAAGATTATATCAGATAAGTACTGCTGTCTGTTACGAGTATAATTAACACAAGTAAATAAAACATGAAAGTTGTCCTCTATCAGAAAGCCACAAACACAGCAAGGTGAGTCAGAAAGGTTTTTGTGGATAAATATTGGTTTAATGAGCTACATTTGAGTCGGAGTCTAACATGGAGTATTTGACCTTTACGATAACCAGTAAAAAAATAGTTTGGTGCATGTCTGATACTGTTATTATCAAGATGTGTTTTTAGTATTTTAACTGATGGTTTTTCTCTAATATTTAGTGGTAGTTCATTCCAGATGCGAATTGAAGAAGGTAAAATAGATTCATTAAATAAAGTTTGTTCGTGTTTGTACAGACTGATGTAAGTCAGATCTTCTTGTATTGTAAGTGTGATTGTCGGGGACTAGAGAAGATGGATAGTTAGGCGATATTTTGTTGACCATTTCATGATACTGTATTAATTTGTGTTTTTTACGACGATCTGCTAGTTTTTCCCATTTGGTGTCTCTATATAGAAGTTTTACATTAGCTAGTTTGGTACCCCCTGTAACAATTCTGGATGCCTGTAGTTGCACACTTTCTAATTTCTCACTTAGATAATTTGGTTTATTGTCCCAGACTATGTCAGCGTATTCCAGAATGGGTCTAATAAATGATAAATACATTTGTTGTACAGAATTTCTATCAAGTTTGAATTTCAATTTTATAAATACATTTATACATTTTGAAGCAGATTCTATCTATGATTTATATAAACATGCCATTAAAGATTTGACAAAAACCAAACTCCAAGATGCCTGTCACTAGACACTTCAGAAATAACACTATTATTTAAGTAAAGATCACCATGGTCAGGTTTCAAAGCTTTACGACTCAAGCTGTCTTCTCTTATGGCTGAGGGTACCATAGGGCTCACAAATACAAGCTGATGTCTCCAAATACTCAAATTTTAACAAGCAAAAACTACTCCCATCATAGTGTTGTCGTTCCGCATTTAGGAGCAAAAAGAAAAAGAAATCGTGGTAAGTTCTAACAGTTTCTTAATCAAGTCCATTGCATATATAGTAGCATACCACAAAGTGCAACAATTTCTCCCAATTGAATATTCTAACATTGTCTATGAATACATTCTCACGCCTAGTTGAAATCCCCTCCCCCTATCCAATTCCAATAATGATTGCTAAGCATCACAAACATTTCTAGGGTTTCTAGGTCTCTTTAAAAGTTTAATTTGATAGACAATGAGGAACACAACACAAAGGTGAATTGAGAACCAGAAGTCTTGGATCATCATTTATACTTTATTTTTGTACCCTTTATACAAGAACCAATGTTTGACGCTGACTGAAACGGGATGAGCTAATGAAGGAATAGAAACACAAGACACTGTATTAACATTATTTACAATATTTAATTCCCACATATATTAAGAAAAAAAGTATATTACATCCACACTCACATTCACACAGTTAATTACATGTATTTATACAGAGAACATCATATCAATGGGCAGCTATCCATCTTAGTATACAATGTCCTTGAGGCCACCAATCTACACAGGTGGGCAGATATCCACCTTAGAGTGTGTCCAAGCAACAGGCTGCCCCTCAGCCTAATAACACCAGTCCACCACAGAACCCCGCACATATACCACGCAGGCACCACGTCCGGTCACCACGGTATGCATAGTCAGAATACACAGGGTAGATAGGGTCACAACCTTCTTCTTTCCCTAAGTTTCGGTCGGGTCCCTTTCGGTCAGCTACAGCATTCCACCACTTAGCTTGGTCATCTTCCCCACTAAAATACCTCTGTATAAATCCTTAAGTGCAGACTGACATGTCACACTTCTACTGGGAGTAAACTACAATATAAAACAAATAACCCACTGAATAATGATATCATGATACCCTATACTATTTACAACAATGGTTGGTCATCTTCCCCACTAAAATACCTCTGTATCAATCCTTAAGTGCAGACTAACATGTCACATTTGTACTGGGAGTAAACTACAATATAAAACAAATAACCCACTGAATAATGATATCATGATACTCTATACTATTTACAACAATGAAACTGACTTGATTTAATATAAATATGTGATTGAAAAGCTTAACTATACACTTCCCAAAAGTACGGCGAACGACGCCTTAATATTTAACACCCACTAACCCGTGCGTCCCTTCTAATTAACTGATACCTGCTACCCTGTATAAGGACACTATTTAGTATAAACAATACTAAATAATTGTGATATAGTGTTGTAAAATGTCATATAACCCTGGTACTTATTGTATAAAACCTAATATAACCAAACAGTACTATGAGCGCACGTGTTTTCACCCAAACCACATAGATATCTATAAATAGCTCATTATATAAAATATCGCTGTTTATCTACACAGCATGTTCAAAACAATCACACAGATGTTACTAAAAGTGTTGATGGGTACGGTACTCACCGCAAGTTGTAGTTTGCGTTCTAGTGTCCCATTTCTACGCAGTGTTTACGTTTGCGTGTTGACATGGCGTCGTTTTCCAACCGCTCCCCCCCCCATATCCGGAACACGTACCCCTAGTCTGAACGCGCGAAATACAAATCACATTATGCGCACTACAGTGCTATGTTACACATGCTCCCGTTAAAAGAATGAAATTTTGAGAATTTCATTTCAGTCAATACACAAACCACTGCAGAGAAGATAGTTGCAGTCTTCCCTAATTGGGGTCACATCTGTTATTGTCACCATATCACATGCTGATCACAAGCGACTGAGACAATCCGCCCCAACATTGTCCTTCCCGCGAATAGCGCGTATCTGAACTCGATTTGGTTGCATAAGTAAGGCCCATCTCATCAGTCGGGCATTGGTTCCTTTCAGTTTGTTTAGATAAACCAATGGCTGATGGTCGGTTTCGATGATGAATTTGCGTCCATAGAGATAGCTTTCAAACTCAAAAATTCCCCAGACCACTGCCAAACATTCTTTCTCAATAACAGCATAGGCTTTTTCCGCTCCCTTGAGCTTTCTGCTGGCATAAGCAACCGGAAAGAGTTCACTATCCTCGTCCTGCAGAAGGACTGCTCCGATACCATGGTCTGAAGCAGCAGTATGTAGTATAAAATCAGCCTCCAAATCAGCCAGCTTCAGAATTGGACTTGTAGACAGCATCTTTTTCAATGTGTTGAACGCTGTTTTCTGAGCATCCGTCCATATCACTTTGTTAGGCTGACCCTTCTTTGTAAGATCAGTTAACGGAACCGAAATTGCGGCAAAGTTTGGGATAAACCGATGAACGAGCGGACTTGGGATTTAGTTTCTTGTCGCGGTGCTTCTAGAATAGCCTTAACCTTGTCAGGGTTTGGGAACAATCGCTGTTCTCCAACAACGTGACCTAAACAATCCAGGCATTGATATCCCAAGGGACATTTCGACGGTTTCGCGGTAATCCTGGCTTTCCGTAATCGTCGAAACAGTTTACGCAGAATTTGCACATGGTGGTCCCATGTCTAGGTATAAATAAGGATGTCATCAATGAAGCTGTCTATATTGCCCATTCCATGGAGGAGCTTCCTCATCAGGCGACAAAATGTTGCTGGTGCGTTCAATAATCCGAAAGGCATAACTGTGAATTGAAATAATCCAACTGGTGTTGTGAACGCTGTCTTGGGTTTGGAAGACTCTGCCATTGGCACTTGCCAATTACCTTTGCTGAGATCGAGACGTGAAAAATGTCGATGTCCTGACAGTCGTGAAAATATATCATCAGCATTAGGCATCGGTTCGGCATCGAAAACAATGATTCTGTTGATAAGGCGATAATCGATGCAAAAACGATTGGTCCCATCCTTTTTCTTGACGATCACGACGGGCGCTGCATATGGCGAATCCGAGGGTTCAATGACCCCCATCTTCAACATCTGATCCATCTCCTCTCGAATTGTTTCCTTCATATGATAAGGGACAACGCGACCTTTTACTCGTATGGGATCATCTGTTGTTAGTTTGATTTCGTGCTCAACTAAATTCGTCTTCCCTGGGACATCAGTTAGTACTTCATCAAACTTGCTCAGCAGAGTTTTTGTCTGATATTGTTGGCTCTGAGCTGGCTGCTCAGATACTTTCACATCGTCTACTGTTTGTGTCCTGATTGGACTCGGTATAGTCTCTAGTTGTGCTGCAGAAATATCATCACTGTCACATCCTTCATCCTCCGTGACGATAGACGCGCATACCACCGACAGAACGCCAGGTTCTTGTACCATAGCTGAACTTGCAGAGGTCGTGCGTTCAACATACCTACGAAGCAAATTCGCGTGTAGAGTTATGCTTTTTCCATCGACATTGACTTTATAATCCATCGTTCCTTTCCTTTCCTCAATGATGTACGGTCCTCTCCACTGCATCTGTAATTTGTTGCGTTTGGTAGGAAGAAGGATAAGTACCTTCTGTCCTGGCTCCATGATCACATCTTTTACCTTCCTGTTGTAATACTTTGCCTGTCGTGTCTTGGCTGCCTTCAGTTGCTCCCGTGCAAGTTTGCAAGTCTCCTCCAGCCTCTCCTTCAGATCAACGACATATTGATATGTAGTCTTGACGTCTACATCAGGTACCTCCTTGTTCCAAAGCTCGCGCAGGATCATCATCGGACCTCACACTGTTCTGCCAAATAACAGTTCAAAAGGGGAAAACCCAAGGGTTTCCTGAGGAAACTCCCGATATGAAAACAGTAGGGCATTAATATACTTGTCCCAATCTTTGGGTCTTTCGGAGCACATCCTCTTTAGCATTTGTTTCAGGGTCCCGTTGAAACGCTCGACAAGGCCATTGCACATCGGATGATATGCAGTGGTTGTCAGTTGGCGATATCAACAGCAACTCGTTGAAATGGAATGTCTACTAAAGGCATTGTCCCCAGAGGTACCTTTGCGACACGCCCTTTAGGGAACGTCCTCTGGCAGACGTCGCATGATCGGCAGAGTCTAGTTACATCTGCGTTTACTCCTGGCCAATAAAACTCCATCATTATTCTGTCGTTTGTCCGCTTGGTTCCTAAATGACCTGACATCATCGAGTCGTGTGCCAGACGAAGTACAATTTCCCGATACTTAGTCGGTACAACACGTTGTTTGAATGTCCTACCATTTGCTACCGCTGGGCTTTGGAATTCTCTATAAATCATGCCGTGATGTTTGAAAAATCTTGATTTCCCTCCATCTCGCCGTTCCTTGATTTCGTCTCTGTCAACCATTTCTCTCATCTTGTCCAAAGTCTCACCCTCCTGTTGAGCTGTCTTTATATCCGACGGTTGAACCTCGTTAAGAGCTTTTGTCACCTTGAGGGCACGGTAAGGTCTGGCTTGGAGTCTTTTCTGAGCTCTAGTCTCGACAGCCGCTACCTTTTCCTTCTTCTGACTCCAATTAGGATTAGGTTCATCTGGGGCTCGGGCTCCCTCTATGTTTCCAAGTATAAGGTCGTAGACCGGCGTTTCCATGCACCAGGCCACCACAGGTCCAACATAATATGGAGTGTCTACCATGACGTTAGCAGTAGGTACCTGCAAAGAACTGCCATCAGCAAGTGTACATGATCGACTTTCGCCAGTCATTTGATCGAGTGCCACTAGACTTCTCTTCAACACCACACCTGTACACCCAGTGTCCCTCAAAACGGAAACTTGTTGACTCCCAACTAAGCCTTCCACTACTGGCATCTTACGTGGTGCTGGCATCGGTAAATTACACGATACATTTATGTCTGTCGCATCCTGTAAGTCGCCTCCCTCATCAGTTGACTCCTAATCAACAAAATCATCAAGTCTTTCGTTTCTTCTTTGTCTCTTATTCCCTCTTTCTCTCCTCACCGACTCACATTGGTTTGACACATCTGCAGGTTCAATATGACTTGATTTCCCAGTAACAGACATCACGCGATTCTTAGAGCCCCTTTTAGGACATCTGTTTGCAAGGTGATCCGTTCCTTTGCACACGTAACACTGTCTAACGCTATCCTTCAGGTTGGCGGATGACACAGGTTTTACTGTATCCGTTTGATCTCGCTTACCAGTTCCATGAGACGAACTTTTACTGCCATTTTGCTTTGGTCGCACTAAATTGCTGGGGTTACCTCTGGCGTCGGCAAACTGATCGGCAAGTTTTGACATTTCCTGCATTGATAAAGGGGTGCACTCCTTTAAGAAAAGCGTCAGTTCACTACCACAAGCCTGCAGAAACTGGTCCCTAACCATCAGGTCTTTAAGTGAGTCAAAGTCTTAACCAGTATTACCCATCTCTAGCCACCTGACAAAGTAACTCTCGAGTCTTACGGCAAACTGAGAAAATGTCTCTCCCGTCTCTGGTCTACCTGACCTAAACCGTTTTCTAAATCCATCCTCTGTCATTTCAAACGTCAGTTTTGGTCCCCAAACAGATTGTGATGGACTCGCTCCTTCAGTCTTAATGCTGAACTTCTCTTGTAACGTAAGAAGTTCCACCTTCCTTCGATGTTCCTCCACGGCCCGTTCCTCACGCTCCTTCTCAAGTTCACGCTGTAATGCGATTTTCTCTCTCTCCAGTTCACGTTGAAAGGTGAGCTGTTCCTTCTCACGTTGAAGTTAAAGTTCCTGCTGTCGTCGTTCTTCCTCTTGCTTAGCCTCATCACGTTGTGTCTGTCGCTCTTCACGCTCTCTGGCCTGTTCCCCGCGAACAAACTCAACAAGCGGTGCACCCGACAAACCCATATCGTTTCCTAACGCTATCAAGTCTTTTAAGGCTGACATAATGCTTACAAAAAAAATGCAAATCACAATGTAAACAAATGTATTTATTCAATTCCTACATTGAGATAAACAATCACACTATCCCACCGCTGCCACCATAAATTGTAACGGGATGAGCATATTGTAAACTCTAATGAAGGAATAGAAACACAACACACTGTATTAACATTATTTACAATATTTAATTCCCACATATATTAAGAACAAAAGTATATTACATTGCTAAGCATCACAAACATTTCTAGGGTTTCTAGGTCTCTTTAAAAGTTTAATTTGATAGACAATGAGGAACACAACACAAAGGTGAATTGAGAACCAGGAGTCTTGGATCATCATATATACTTTATTTTTGTACCCTTTATACAAGAACCAATGTTTGACGCTGACTGAAACGGGATGAGCTAATGAAGGAATAGAAACACAAGACACTGTATTTACATTATTTACAATATTTAATTCCCATATGTATTAAGAAAAAAAGTATATTACATCCACACTCACATTCACACAGTTAATTACATGTATTTATACAGAGAACATCATATCAATGGGCAGCTATCCATCTTAGTATACAATGTCCTTGAGGCCAACAATCTACACAGGTGGGCAGATATCCACCTTAGAGTGTGTCCAAGCATCAGGCTGCCCCTCAGCCTAATAACACCAGTCCACCACAGAACCCCGCACATATACCACGCAGGCACCACGTCCGGTCACCACGGTATGCATAGTCAGAATACACAGAGTAGATAGGGTCACAACCTTCTTCTTTCCCTAAGTGTTGGTCGGGTCCTTTTCGGTCAGCTACAGCATTCCACCACCACTTAGCTTGGTCATCTTCCCCACTAAAATACCTCTGTATCAATCCTTAAGTGCAGACTGACATGTCACACTTGTACTGGAAGTAAACTACAATATAATACAAATAACCCACTGAATAATGATATCATGATACCCTATACTATTTACAACAATGAAACTGACTTGATTTAATATAAATATGTGATTGAAAAGCTTAACTATACACTTCCCAAAAGTACGGCAAACGACGCCTTAATATTTAACACCCACTAACCCGTGCGTCCCTTCTAATTAACTGATACCAGCTACCCTGTATAAGGACACTATTTAGTATAAACAATACTAAATAATTGTGATATAGTATTGTAAAATGTCATATAACCCTGGTACTTATTGTATAAAACCCAATATAACCAAACAGTACTATGAGCGCACGTGTTTTCACCCAAACCACATAGATATCTATAAATAGCTCATTATATAAAATATCGCTGTTTATCTACACAGCATGTTCAAAACAATCACATAGAGGTTACCTAAAAGTGTTGATGGGTACGGTACTCACCGCAAGCTGTAGTTTGCGTTCTAGTGTCCCATTTCTACGCAGTGTTTACGTTTGCGTGTTGACATGGCGTCGTTTTCCAACCGCTCCCCCCCCCCCACATCCGGAACACGTACCCCTATTCTGAACGCGCCAAATACAAATCACATTATGCGCACTACAGTGCTATGTCACACTGACGTCCCTCTAACATCTTTTAGACAAAGCGCCCCCTACTGGTCAACAACTACCATCAGGAGTACTCAATGCCCTGTCGTCACAGTCGGCCGCTGTGGCCTCCAATCACTCTCCACAAAGTCGTACATCTTATGTAGGAAATTCACTTTCTTATTTCATTCAGTGATTATAACAAGTTTTTCCCCTTATAGACAGTTTAATGATCAGATGATTTTTGTACGACTTTGATTTGAGAGACAGAATCCATTCACCTGTAGGCCAGCAGGGTCATCGATTACGATCTTGATCCCATCGTAACAACTACGCATATTCTCAATGTAGCAAACATTCCATTTCAAAAATAGATGATCAACTTTATTAAAATTTGTAAAACTGGAAATGACTGGTGACAACTATATTGATAATAAAGCCATACAACACACACATACATTCGTACATGTAAGATGAGGACGATAACAAACCAGGGAAATGACAGGGTCCAGTCCTAAAGACAATCAGCGACCGTCCAAGTTACACCTAGTGACTGTTCTAGTGACAACCAGAGATTGTCCAAGTTACAACCAGTGACTGTCCTAGTACCAACAAGTGACTGACATAGTGACAACCAGTGACTGTACTAGTATCAACGAGTGACTGTCCTAGTGCCAACAAGTGACTGACCCAGTGACAACCAATAACTGTTCTTGTTACAACCAGAGATTGCCCAAGCGACAACCATTGACAGTCCTTGTGCCAACCAGTAACTGGTCTGATGACAACCAGTAACAGACCTAGTTACAACGAGTGGCTCTCCTAGTGCTAGCGAGTTGCTGTCCTAGTGAGAATCAGTAAGTGTTCTACTGACAACAAGTGAATGTCCTTGTGACAACCAGTGACTGTCCTAGTGACAACTGCTGACTGCGCTAGTTATAACCATTGTCTGTCTAATTGAAACCAGTGACTGTCCTAGTGAAAACTCGTGCTTTTCCTAGTGACAATCAGTGATTGTCCTAGTAAAAACCACTGACTGTCCTAGTGACAACCAGTGACTATTCTAATGACAACGAGTTACTGTCCTAGGGACAACCAGTGAGTGTCATGGTGACAAGCGGTGACTGCCCTAGTGTATACAACCAGTAACTGTCCTTGTGACAACCAGTGACTGTCCTAGCGACAAACAGTAACTGTCCTAGCGACAACCAGGGACTGTTCTAACGACAACCAGTGACTGTTCTGGTGAAAACCAGTGACTCTCCTAGTGACAATCAGTGACTCTCCTAGCGACAACCAGTGACTTGACGCATAATTGAGTCATCTTTAAGAGAAATTCCTTTTTGTTTTTTCACCTCCTGGTTTTAAGAAATGTCCATTTGTTATTGGAATGGTGACAAAAATATGTTCATGTTGGTACAATTTGGTGCTTCAGGTGCATATCTGAAAAAAGTATAAGAGAATGTTTTTTCCAATATTTCTCAACTGTGAGATCTTCTGAAGAACTATAAATCTTGAGATTAGAAAAATGAAGTGTTTTGTTTTACAGATCAATGACAAGTACATAGCACCGTTTACTGGAGTCATTTACCAAGAATCCAAAGACAGTTACCTTCTCATTCCTAGCGAGTTTGACGGCTTCCTCAAGCGAACGTCGGAAACGAAAAAAAGTGCTCAAAAAACGCTTATGAGAATGCAGATAATAGTTGACAATCATGAGGAACGGGACAGAAATATTCATAGTAAGGAGGGATATAGTGAAGATTACAGTGACGATGAGGTGGAAGGTGTGAATGAAATAAGTGTTGAAGTCATGCTTGTGTATTTAGTGAGACCATTAAAAGCTATTCAAAAGAAATGGTGATTATTGTTCTGCCTTTAAAAAACTGTTCTGTCCTTAATGAGAGTGTGATAGTAATGTCTTTCTCCGTGAATCCATTGAGTTCTACATCTTCATGTATTATCGGTCAAGGTTAAAGGGTCAATCGTCGCGGGCAGAGCATCTGTCCTCTCAGATACAAGATATCTCACGAACCTCAGAACAGATTTAGTTCACATTTGCATCATAGCATAGTAACATCAATATCGAGTAATGTAAAGATCTCAATTTAATTCTTTTAATATCACATTATATCTGATTAGAATTTGGTAGTCATCCGACAAGGTTAAAGGGTCAAAGGTCACGGATAGAGTACATTCCAAGTACGTCCCAAGTTTACCTTGTACCTGAACCACACTACACGTCTGACATGTCGCTTGAAACTATTCCTGCATTAATCTAACGCACATGGGCAACACATATAGAGACATGTCATATGGTATCTTATATTTGTTTTCTCTACTTTCTAACAACCTTTTGTCTAGTGCCTCCCCTGACAATACCTGACCTCTGGCTGCAGTGTTGAACATTCGCTTAAGTGAGAACAGCAATACGTTCTGTCTCTGGGACATACCGAAGTCCTTTAGAAGGAAGTTATTTCCTGCTTAAAACGTTCAGCGACAAATGGCAATCCATTGCCGGTATAATATGACTGGATGGAATACTGTGTTTGGTGCCATCGGCATGGTGTTTCAAAGAGGTAGCACTCTAATGTCGGATCCAACATACCGCATCCCACACACATATCTTAGACATATGGAGGCATGTCTTTAAATGTCCTTAGGTATTAATAGGACGTTAAACAAAAACTACAGAATACACAATTCTACTTAATGTAAATGTCGATAAATCCTAGGAAAACCAATACCACAGAGCTGGATACGTAAGACTGGAGATCAAATAAAACACATATGTTGATGTATTTGCCTTCTTGCGATAATGCGGATCTGATGCCTGCTACCTCCTAGGTACCCTATGAAAAGCAATACCACAGAGCTGGATACGTAAGACTGGAGATCAATTTGTTTGTTTGTTTGTGTTTTACGTCCTCTTAACAGCTATGGTCATTTAAGGACGTGCCAGGTTTTGGTGGTGGGGGAAAGCCCGAGTTCCCGGAGAAAAACCACCGCCTACGGCCAGTACCTGGCGACTGCCACACGGAGGCCTCGAACCCGCGACCCAGTGGTGGCAGGCTAGTTGTAGTAGAATGTCAGACGTCTTAACCACTTGGCCACCGCGGCCCTTGGAGATCAAATAAAACACACATGTTGATATATTTGCCTTCTTGCGATAATGCGGATCTAATGCCTACTTTAGAACGCTACCTCACTGCCATGCCGAAGGCATCTAGAACAGCATTCTGCTCAAGAGTTACGCCCACTTACATTCTCTGCACCTAGTAATATTGACTCAGTAATTAGCTGAACGTGTTATTCTCAACAAAGTCAAGGACTCAATATATAGGTGAATTAGCATTACATGACATAAGTCAGACTCAATAACAAGCTGAAAATGTAATACACGACAAATTTGCGGACTTCATTGTGGACAAACTTGCAGCCTCGACAAATTCACGACAAAATCGCCAACTCAATAAATAAATGAATGTAAAGTACAAAATCGCGGACTCAATAAATTAGCTTGGCGAACAACAAAAGACATATCCAAATCAAAATAGTCGATTTTCTAAAATAATGAAATAACAAAATTTCACGCAAAGAAAAAGTGATTTATTGAGAAAAGAAAAGTCTTTTGAATGTTCATCAAGAAGCTAAGAATGTTTCATAGAGCACATACGTGTATGACAAAAATATCCACGTGGCATTAGAACTGGCAATAATATCGACAAAACAGTATCCTGTCTTTTTCACAAGATCAGAATTAACAACGGACACTTTATATTCATATTGTTAACCTTGATAAAAAAAATACAATTTTCAGTAAAACTCCAATTTTTACACAATGATGGTATTCGAACAGGACCACAGAAATTAAAACAACTTCAAACAATGCGATAGTTTTTATTAAGTTGATTAAACGTGATACAAACTAAGTCAGATTTTCATCAAATTGGAAACAAAATAATAATAATAAATCAGATATAATGAATGTCTCTCTTTCATGTGTAATCATTATTTTTGACAGTTAGTAAGTTCTTACTGTCTTTTTTTCTTATGTGATAAAAATCAACAAAATATCCGGTAAGAAAGCAAATATATGTACAGTTCAGAAAATGTATTTCACACAACCATAGTGACTGCAATGTTGTTGTTTTTTATTAATTGTTTGTTTGACTATGTTAGTACATATACACGCCACATGATCAACGCAATCATGTGTGCATCTGTATTACATTTAGCAGAGTTGAAATATACAGATAGAATTACGTTGCTCTGCAGAACCCAAAGAAGTGACCACAAACGTGTCGCCATGAACAGCTATTGCCCGTGGATATTCCGTTCCATCCATTGACGTCAGCAGTTCCCTGACGTGTGCCCCGTCCCCTGACATCTGCACGACGTTGTGTGAACTATAACCACACACGTAGATGTTACCCTCCCTGTCCACGTCTATTCCAATAGCACTTCTCACGACACCGACCTTCATCACATCCGTGTGACGTTTGTCAGCTGACAGTCTGGACACCGCGACGTTCCCCGTATTGTAATTATTGACACTGACGAGTGTGTCTCCCTTTACTGGATCTTGTGTGAGGAAATAACAGACATTGTTATACTTGTATAACAACTCAGTCGCTCCGTTCTGTGTCACAATGTATACGTCTCCTCCACCTGTACCCACGATAAACCTACCGTCTGTATATGTTATACCATAACAGTCTTTACAATTCGGCATATTGATCTCAGACAACAGGGAGAGTTTTGAATCCTCGACTTTCACGACACGGACACCACTAGGACTGGTGACAGCGACGGCCATGGTATTGTTGTTTACCAGACAAAGATCACTGGGACATCCACGAATGCTCAACTCGTCCAGGTCCTGTCCTTTGTCTGTAAACAGCTTAAGCTTCTTGTTGTTGTAATCACTAAGTAATATATGTTCATAAGGAAGGTACACAACTCCCCATATCAAACAATCATTTTTATCTGACGGAGTCTTTACGTTAAACTTCCCTATTTTTGTCACATTACGCTCTGACAAAGGTACGGACAGGTAATTAAGATCATCAGGAAAACATCGGCGTTGTCTCTCGATGACGATCTTCCCCATCGCCTCATCGCCAAGGGTTTCCAGTCTGGGAACAATATGATGGTTAATGATAACGGACGTGAATGACTTGCTTATTTCCTTGACCAGGACCTTACACGACTCCACTTCTGCCTGTCCTCTCTGATACAACACTATCGCCTCAATAGCGTCGTTCCCCTCTGCGGCAGTCACGGACAGCTTCATGGTATTAACCATACTGTTTATCAGACGTTCACACTGTCGTAACGAGGCCTCTATATTCCCCTTCTCCTCTTTAAACAATGTAATCAACTTATCAGTGACGTCCTTCTGAAGTTTGTTCAGCTGTTCTTCGACACTTTGGCGCAGATCCTTGATGCTTTGCAGTGCGATTTCCTGATTTTGGACCATGGTTTGGATCTGCTCGTCAAAATCCTTCACCAATGACGTCATAGCCTGTGTTCCTTTCTTCAGTGCCATCTCCATCTCTTCTAGTTGTGAACCGGCTTTTAACTTCTGTAAATATTCCATCGCCGTTGTCACCTCACCACAACGTCTGTGGTCTTTGATCATGCATATGTTGCAACCAAGACGTTTGTGGTTTTCACAGTACCAAATTAATTTCTTGTGGTGTTGGTCACATTTCGGGACTGACCTGCTCTGTTTGGTTCCCCTGCTATCGTATCTGGTGATATCTAAGATATCACAATCATTGTGTATGATATCATGAAATTGAACCTTACAAGACTCACAAAAATTTGCGTTCATCGACTTGCACCAGAATTTCGCTAGATTGGTCAGGTTATCTCTTGTCTGACATGGCTTGCAGTACAGTGGTTCAGACGAACGTTCCTTAAGCTGGATAAGGTCCTGGACCACAGCATTAGTCGGGAACTGTTCTGCCCATTTGTCCTTAGCTTCCGTTTGATTGACGGTCTGGGTCATTCTCCTACATACGGGACAGGGGAACGATGTTGCCGACGCCATTTTTCCAGACAGTTCCTTGGTGATGTAGGTCCTGAGGTATTCCTGACAGAAAGAGTGTAGGCAGGGTAAGGACTTGGGTTGTCGAAGTCGCTCCAGACATATTGGACACTCCAGTAGGTGTTCGTCCAGTTCCGGAGAAGGACCGCCATCTGCCATAGTAACATCTAGGGCAGATTAACACTGGCCTGAAAAGGAAAGAGTAACGATAATAATTTCATGTGTTTCACACAAAACGATTTTATCAAATTCAATAGCTGGATCATTGTACTTTACTCTATAGGTTTAAATCTTATAATGGTTTCTAGACCTACACACATTTTATTTATAGTTCTATTTTTATGCAAGAGTCTCAAATATTTGTTTTTTTCTGCTATAATATGATTTGAGCTTTTGAATCATCTCCCTGTTCCATCATTTTAAGTATTTAATTTAATCATTATTTGTTCAGGTTTTTTTGTCCATTAACACTGTCGTAGTTCGAAAATGAATACAGGAAATGACGTCTCAGGGTTGTGTATTGTGATATACAATACATTGATTTCAGCGAAACAGTTTTGCAGATAACATTTTGAGACGGAAATTGCCTATTCATGATACATGTTTCAACTTTGAGCTTTGAACTCTGTTTATGACCTGAAAAGACGACCGCCGTTGACATCACTAGATAAATCCTACTAGTGTGATCTACATGTATCAGGGTTGTTGATAAAGAATTAGTGGATAGTGAGAGGGGGTCACTACTTTGGGGTGTTATTCTTAGATTTTATGTTTTAAATGATGTGCTCTGTTGTGTTGTGAAGCTGAAAACGTAAATGATATTTCTTTTTGTTTCTTTGGTTTTTCAATGTCATTATTATTCTAATAATTTGTAATACCAGTGCATGATAAATCTAACAATAAAAATACGTTATGACTGAATAGGACACTTTCTTATGGGAAAGAAAACACTATTTTGTCTCGGACGACAAGACACTAATTTATGTGTGGGAAAGGGACACTTTATTCTTGGGAGGGTGTGTACAATTTTGCGGGAGGACCGGACAATATCATTTATAGAGACGGGTCACTTTGTTATGTTAGGACTAGGTACTTTTTTGTTTGGGGACTAGACTTTCTTTAGAGGATCGTGCACATTCGTTTCCAAAGCAGAGCATGGCTATTTTTTCCTGTGATTTCGTGGTACTATTTCACAACTTAGAAAGTCTCATATTTGTCAGTTAAGAGTACACGTTGTTGTTTGTACGTTTCATTACACATTCATTATACAATATCAAATAATTCCATGAGTAGGTACACTATGTGTGTTTCCCCTCTAACCCCCCTCCTTTTAACAATGTATCCACCCGACCTCTCCTTTTGTATAACTCTACAACGAGACGGTTCATTTCCTATGGTCTATCATTATAACGAGATAGTTTAGTCTTCCTGTCGATCGTCTCTGACAATCTAGCGTTTGAATGAATTTTATATACATTTACATGTATAGGCACACACTTCCATGTATTTGATTTAAAAGGCCAAGACACACTATGTCCAATATTACGCTAAATCATTGAATAAAGTTTGCTTCTTCGTGTTGAAGTCAATTCAAAGTAGCGCGGAGGAGGCAATCCTAGATACTGATCGCTTGCAATAATGTTCTGCTCTGATTGTTTATTGTACCCGGAGACAAATGAATTAGGTGGATCACGCTTGGCAATCACAGTATGTTGTAAACGTACTACACGATATAAACCCACCAACACAAACAGATGGTCGTGTTTTAACATGTTATAAATTACAGAAGTTAAACCAACTTTTGTTTTGTATATATCTAGTGCAGCGAAGGTTTGTCGACAGTGTAGTACATATAAATCTGTAATATACATATATTACCAATCATTGTTTGTGTAATTGACAGAAATGTACGTAACAAAACCACCTTAGTTCCTTACACTCACCCTGTGAACTTCCGTTTACACCTTGGACCCGTTTCCAAAACAGGAAGTGTACAGGGTAGATTATAAATATCGAACGAAGGCGGATAAATCAATATCCGGATTCTAAACTGTATTTAAATCATTCTGATTTACGTATATCGTTTACATTATTGTTTAAAGTTTGATAAAGCAGGCGATAAATAACCAAAAAGATTTTATACTCAAGAATATTACAATTTGAAAGTCATTCTGTTCGAGCTACGTTTATGAAAATGAATGAGTACAACACAAGGTAAAAGCAATAATGATGTTGACACGTCACTGTTTAAAAATCCCATCAAGCGGAACGTTTATAGAAGATATACCGCAAACCGTTCACTTAATTATACTAATTCCAAACTTCTGCAAGTATATTTGATAATAACTTGGAACAACCAATCATGAACATCGTGAGTATAACTTTGCGTATGTGTGTGTCCGTGTAAGAAATATTAACAGCTGGTAAAAACACTTAGGTCAACTTGCAAACCCCGCACCAAATCATCATTTCAACAAGATTACAGACAACTCATTGCCCACAGCAAAGTTACAGCAAAGTTACAGCCAACTCACTATCTACTCACAGCTCATCACATCCATCTTATAGTCCACTTACAGCCCGTTCACAGCAAACTTATAGCCTACTCATATACCACTTACAGCCCACTCATAGTCAACTAATAGCCCATTCACAACCAACTTACAGCCCGATCACAGCTCATCACTGCTCACTTACAGCCTCCTTACAGCCCACTCACAGCCCATAACGTCCCACTCGTAACCTACTTACAGCCAACTCACAGTCCAATCATAGCCAGCTAACACCCCACTCACTGCTCATTACAGCCCACTGAGGGGGTCGGGTATCATTCTGATAGCGAAGAGGGGGTCGGGTGTCTTTCAGATAAGTACAGAAAAATGGACACATGTGACTCATTGATAAAAAACAACTGAATTAAAGCCTGATTACTTATAAATACTTTAATATTGAGAGAACACACTGTTCTGTCCATAATAAACAATATTCATCAGTTTAATATTAAACATTAGAATATGCGGAAATTATGAGACTACATTGGATTTTCAACTAGTGATGTACTTCCTATTTCCGTTTATCAATACACTCCTATGACCTCCTATGTGCGAGAGGTGTAACGTATCAGTGGGTGTACTGACTTGTGTATGTGTGGTGTGTAAGTATATTATGTGTGTTTAACATTGTGAGTTAGTGTTAGACTGATAACACATATTATCTATAATGGTTTATATCAATACAGGTATAGCAAAGTGTACTAAGGGTTGTATATCTGTTTGTCACTAGTGTTGGTGTTTATGTATAAGAATGTGTTGTGTGTAATTAGTGAGTACGTGTGTCGATCAACAACACATATATCGTAAAGTAATGTGTAAGTGTTAATAGGGATGTGTGTTATTGTTACACCTCTTCATATATTAACCTTCTATCAATCCAGATACAGTTTTTCAAACCTCAGTTAATTTAATAATTCGACTCACAAGTCCTCAAATTATTAATACTCTTAACTTGTCAATCGATATCACCCTTCCATCCTAACCCCTGTGCTATAATATGTATATGTACATGTATTTGTATTGATGCTATTATATGTTTAAGCAACGATCTATACATTGCAAGTCCCTGCCCTTGCTCATGCTTTGCTGCTATTTGTATTGCCCGAACCCTTATTAAGCGTGGATGTCCCACTAAACTGACTGTTTTCGATAATGGTTAAAATTCTTTTTTCATCTGTTGTGAATAGGACATCCATCTTACGAGGGCATATGACTTGGCCATGCAGTATTTCTATTCAATTTCTGTACATTTATTCTAAAATATTCAACAATAACTCATATCTACAAATACTTCTGCAAACACTGCTGATTAAATGTATGGATGTTGAACTGAATCCAGGTCCACTCCAGAATGTAGAAATAGTTCATCTTAATGTTAGATCCATAAGAAATAAAATAGATGTTATTGAAGCACAACTACATGATAGTGACATAATATGTATAACTGAATCACACCTTAACCCTCTAATCCCAAATTCTGATATTAAATTAGAGTCATTCTCAGATGAAATTCATAGAAAAGATAGGACAACAGGGCATGGTGGTGGTGTTATTATCTATCATAAAAACAATATTCTTACTAAACGTAGACATGATCTTGAAAATGAACATATAGAAATGATTTGGATAGAAGTCTTAATCCAAAATCATAAATTTCTGCTTGGATGTATATATAGACCTGATTCTAATATAGAATACTGGAGTAAATTTGAACAAATCCTTGATAAAGCTAGTGAAACTTCCATGGATATACTAATTACTGGTGACTTAAATGTTGATATGCTAAGAACCCCACCCACTTCTCACTTATCTAGACTCTTAACTAAATTCAACCTAAAAAGTATTATTAATAAACCTACTAGAGTGACACCTGATAGTGCAACCTCTATAGATGTTGTCTTTACAAATAATCCTTCCATAGTGAAAAATACTCATGTTGACCCTGCTTTCTGTAGTGACCACTCCCCTATATATATGGAAGTTTGTTATGCTATCTTCAAACATAAAGCATACAAAAAGACTGTATGGATGTATAACAATACTGACTATAATATTATGAATGACGAACTAAATGTTATTGACTGGAACTTAATTGCTGCTGATATGGATACCCAAGAATTTAGTATGTTTTTAACTAAATCTATTACTGACCTGATGACAAAATATATTCCTAGTAAAACTATTACAATCCGACCTGATGACAAGCCATGGATGAATACCAATATTAGGCTAAAGATGAGACAAAGAAATAGGATACATAAGAAAGCCAGACATACTGACAAAATAGAGCATTGGAATAAATATAAGCAAATAAGGAATGATGTTATTGATCTTGTAAGAGACGCAAAACATTATTATCTTGATAAACTTCAAAAGTCTCTAGGTGATGAATCATTGCCCCCTAATAAATTGTGGAAAATTGCTAAATCCATAACTAATTTTAACAATAAAACTGAACCGATTCCACCATTGAATGTTAATAATACACTGATTCAACATCCACTGATAAAGCTGAAGCCCTTAGTGACTATTTTACTATTTCCACTCTATCAAAGTTAGAAAACATAATAGTCTCTGAGCAAGATGTTGATGTTCAAATTACTATATTAAATGAAAATAAACCATCAGGACCTGATGGCATATTACCTAAATAAAAAAGTTAAAACCTTCCTTAATACTCCCACTTACAATTTTATTTAACAAAACTATATCAAACGGGTGCATACCTGGGCCATGGAAGATGGCTAATGTTAGTGCTGTATACAAAGGGAATGGTTTAAAAAATAATTATTCCAATTATCGACCAATATCTGTAACATCATGTTTTAGTAAAATCTTAGAAAAAATTATATTCAAATATTTATATAACTATTTAACAACTAATAATATACTTTCCAAGGACCAATCAGGTTTTAAACCAGGTGATTAAACAGTAAACCAACTTCTCTCTATATACCACACCATAATTAGCAACCAGGATAAAGGGAAAGAATTAAGGTTTGTATTTTGCGACATCAGCAGGGCTTTTGATCGAGTTTGGCACAAAGGGTTACTACATAAACTAAAAGCATATGGTATATCGGGCAATGTTTTTAACTGGTTTGAGAATTATCTTGAAGATAGAAAGCAGAGAGTTCTATCTGAAGGTCATTTTTCTACTTTTAGGGTTGTTAATGCCGGTGTTCCTCAGGGATCAGTTCTCGGTCCTTTTTATCTCTATTATACATTAATGACATCACTGATATAGTCCAGAGTAACATTAAGCTGTTTGCAGACGATACATCATTATATGTCATCATAGACGAAAACCCACAACTAGCAGCAGATTATCTTAACCAAGACCTAGATAGAATTAACAACTGGGCTAGTACATGGGACATTAAATTTAACCCCTTTAAAACCAAATCATTATTTTTTTCTAGAAAGAAAGAACCTAAAAAAAGAAGATGATATGATGATGATAACTATATGTTGATGATGATACATGAAATTATGATTGAAGATTTTGGATGATGATGGATTATGGCAATGATGATGATTGCATAATTATATATGAAAGAGGATGATGAAGATGATAAAGATAATGATGATGATGATATGTTGATGATGATATTATGATGAATTGAAATTGATTGTAATAATGCTAAATCCATGTCCGTGTGTGTATATGTGATATATGTGAGAATGCGTGAATGTCCTGTTTATGTATATGTAATGCAAAACTTAGAAAAATAAAACCATTACAAAAAAAAAGATGGCACTTGGTCTACCCATGTTCAATTAATATATGAAAAGGCTAGTAAAAGATTAACAATACTTAGGTATCTGAAATATAAGATTGATAGGGAATCACTATGCAAAATATATACAACATTTATCCGCCCAGTGCTTGAATATGCAGATATTGTCTGTGACAACTGCTCTGACAATCTTAAAAAATTATTAGAATCTGTACAACTAGAAGCTGCAAGGATTATCACAGGTCTAAGGAAAGGTACATCACACCAAACTCTATATAAAGAACTAGGTTGGGAATCCCTGTCTGATCGAAGGATGAACCATAAGCTAATTCAGATGTATAAAATAACTAACAATTTATCACCCACATACCTCCATGACATAATTGATCCTCTTACTCATAACCCAGAAAATGATAGGTATACTCTAAGAAATGTAAGAATGTTTAACCCACCACTATGTCGTACAGAATCCTATGCTAAAAGCTTCTTCCCAGTAATGTGCAACAAGTTCAATGGACTTGAAAATGATATAGTACATTCCCCTACTCTTAATAAATTTAAGGCCAAGGTGTATAATAAAATATGTTGTAATAATGATATCTCGGATGTATTTAAAAATTGTGAAAGCAGAAAGGATAACATAATCCTATGTCAACTGAGAAATGAGGCGAGTAACCTGAACTATGATCTATTCAAAGATCACTTGAAAGAGTCTCCATCTTGTCTGTGTGGTGATGCTTATGAAACTGCTACACATTATCTTTCACAATGTCCAATGTATACTAATGAGAGACAAACTTTAATAAATGAGATTTTTGAAGTGTGTCCGGTTAATCTTGATACTAAAACACTTCTTAATGGAAGCACTGTGTTAAACAATACTGAAAATAAATCTATACTTGATAGTGTTCTAAAATATATATACAACACAAGAAGACTCGTTTAATTAATCAAAACAATCTATAAATTGTGTTATATAACTGATAAAATACTGCCCTTAAACCATTATGTGATTCTACTGATTGTTATATATACATTGATGTTTTAATATTATACACCTAAGGGATTAAGCTTTGTGTGCTGTTTTTACTGATGGGTGCAATAAAGTAAAACACAAATGTGCTAAGTTTGAATGCTTAGTGTTCTGTGGTTTAATCTGGATTCTTCTCGAGTGGATGATATGTGAACGGTAGAGGCCGTTAGTGACTTTTTGTCTGAAACTCGATGGGATGAAAGATTTACAAATAGAACACTGGCAATACATCTTACACATATATTACATTTTCAAAATCTTCTAGCTGAATTGCCTCATTTTATTTTTTCATATTTTGATGTTGTTGTATCCCTTACTTTTTATCACTCCTTTAACCAATGATATATATATTGATACTAAATGGTTCTATACTTCTAACTATTTCATGCAACAGCAGCAGGGTATGAACAGGGGCCACTAATGACTTGCAAAACAAAAAACAAAACAAAAACAATTGTAGCAATTTCTCTGTTTAATATATCATTAGGGCATTGCTTTCCTATTACTAATTAATTATGATTGACTTTTTAATATGATCATTGTATAGCTAAAATATCAATTGAATATTTATATCTAATTGAAACATACATGGAATTATCTCCCCTATACCATCTGCTATATATATATATATATGTCTATGCTACCTATTATATATGATTTGCATCAATATTTTCTTACAAACCATTTCATTCATCTTTGTCTTTGTCATGTCAACCTAAGGAGAGAACTTATATAGGCATAGCCTGCTGTTCAATCCTATTGTTTACTCAATAAAATATAATGAAATGAAACATGTATTTCATGCTCTACCGGAGTGGGAGAAAACATATATAGGCTATGCCTGTTGCCTAATCCGCTAGTTTTTGAAACTTAAAATATCTTGAAGTGAATAGTACCTGTGTTATAACTGAGATTCCCTACTCATGATTATATATACAAATGCTAGGCATAATGAGACGAACACAATCATGTTACCAGATTCGGTAGTTTTGGATACACATATGTAATGATATCAGGATTGGGTCAGGGGAGTGGTCCTATTCTTTGGATCGTATTTGCCACACTACTTTCGATCAAACTATTTTGCCATGATTGGTAAATATTCATGTCAAAGATAGAGGCCATCTTGGCCTCTTGTTATGTGAGAGACTGTATACGTTTTTGTTTGAAAAAGAGATTCTATTTCTTCAAAAGACAGAACAAAACACCTTTTTTTCCAAGATCAAAGTGTGTTGTTTCCTGAGTTAGTGATAATATTTCAATCGATCACCTCGCTTAGCAAGTTTCGTTACACATTTATTTATATAATTGTAAGAATGTTAGAATTGCCTAAGTGGACTTGTATATAAACTCATGTATGACTCCCCTAATATCTTTCTTCAAATGCGGGCATTGATCGGCCTCTCCTCTCCTTCCCATGATTCTATAGTCTATCATTATAACGAGAAAGTTTGAACTTTCAGTCGATCGTCTCTGATAATCTAGCGTGTCGATTAATTTTATATACACTTCCATGAGTGTGATTTAAATGACTGCGATATATTTAAACCAACATAACGTTAACTCATTGACTTAAAGTTGTGTCTTGGTGTTGAAGATTATTTATAACAGCACAGGTCTAGAGGTCGCAATTATCTGTACTGATCGCCAATAGTAATGGTCTGAATATTTATAGTACCCGGTGGAAAATTAATGGAGCGGATCACGCTTAACGATCACAGCATATCGTATACGGTACTTTACAATATTAACCCATCAACACTATCAGCACAAACAGATAATCCTGTTTAAACATGTTATATCAACTTTCGGTTTGTATATATCTAGTACAGCGAAGTTTGTCGACAGTGTAGTACATATAAATCTGTAATATACAGATATAACCAAACATGTTTTGTGTAATTTACAGATGTGTACGTAACAAAACCACCTTAGTTCCTTACACTCACCTTGTGAACTAACAATATCGACACAGAATGGACCGACTGGACTTCTTTCGACAGGACACTTGTTTACACCTGCGACCCGTTACCAAAACAGGAACTGTTCAGGGTAGATTATAAATATCGAACGAAGGAATGTCCCGATAGAATGTACAATGTCCAGATTCTAAACGACTGTTTGTTATTGACATCTTTCTGATTTACGTATGTTTTTTACATTATTTACTAAATTTTGATAAAGCAGGCGATACATAATCATACAACTCTTTATACTCAAGAACATTACAATTTGAAGGTCATACCGTTCGAGCTACGTTAATTATGAAATTGAATGAGTACAACACAAGCTAAAAGAAATAATGATGTGAAAAAGTCATTGTACAAGAATGTATAAAAATCCAATCAAGCGTATCGTTCATAGAAAATATACCGCAAGCCGTCCACTTAATTATACTTATTGCAAACTACTGCAAGTATATTTGAAATTAACTGGGAACAACAAATCCTGAATTAATTTTAGTGAGTATAACTTTGCGTATGTGTGTGTCCGTGTACGAAATATTATTATATATATATAAACGACTGGTACAAACACTTGCAAACCCCGCACCAAACCATCATTTCAATAATATTACAGACAATTCATAGCCCACAGCAAAGTTACAACCACCTCACAACCTACTCACAGCTCATCACAACCATCTTACAGTCCACTTATAGCCCGCTCACATATCACTCACAGTCCACTCACAACCTACTCACAGCTCATCACAGCCATCTTACAGTCCACTTACAGCCCGCAAACCGCCAACTCACATCCCACTCATAGCCAACTTCTAGCCCACTTACAGTTCACTTACATCCCACTCATAGTCCACTTATAACCCACTCAAAGCCCACTCACAGCCATCTTACATCCCATTTACAGCCCACTCACAACCTATTCACGTTCCACTCACAGCACACTGACAGTCCATTTACATCCAATTTACAGCCCACAGCCGGCTGTTATAGCCCACTAAAAACCCACTCACGTCCAATATTTAGCCCATTCAAAGACCACTCATAATAAACTTATAGCGCCCACTCACAGCCATTTTATAGCCCGCTTACAGCCCACTTACAGCCCACTTACAGCACAATAAAATTCCATTTACAGCTCACTTACAGCCCGGTAACAGCCTGCTCACAGCCCCCTCAAAGCGCACTTATAGTCCGCTTATATTCCGCTGTTACAGCCCACCCAAAGCCCGCTCACAACCAACTTACAGCCCACTCAAAGCCCACTTACAGGCAACTAATATCCCATTTACAGCCCGCTCACAGCCCACTCACAGTTCACTTACAGTCCACTCACAGCAAATTAACAGATCACCCACATCCCACTTACAGCCCACTCAGTCCTCTCACAGCCCACTCATAGCCTACTTACAGCCTGCTCACATTCCGCTCATAGTCCACTCACAGTCAACGTACAGTCAACGTACAGCCAACTCACAACTTATCACAGACCACTTACAGCCCACTCACAGCCAAATGACATCCCGCTTACAGTCAACTTACAGTCCACTTACAGCCAAATCAAATTCTACTCCCACTGTGAAAGCAGTCCATTATTTGAAAAACATGTGTACTTGAAGTTTCATTTGAATCCCACAAATTTTGTTTAAAACCTGTCATACAGTAAGGTTATCTTTAACATAACGTAAAATGCAATAAGCTTATCTGTCGTTAACATAATAATGTTGGCAATTACTTAGCATGGGTATTTAGAATTGGTATTAAGATTTTCTTACCACTAAACCATGTTAGATATCTCAATGAGAGGACGTGAAACTACTTGGATTCGACTTAGATTAACATGGCGATGTCAGCAGCAGCAGACGCTTAACTTTCCGGAACACCTGGTCTTACTTCCTTGCACTTTTTCAAAGGTCTTCATGTAAATTCTTCATTTGTTCATATTTCGCCCTTGTTTTTTATCGATTTTGAGTTGGAATTGTGCTTTTGTTATTTTTTTGGAATTAACTTGATTTTAGGGAGAGAGTTGTAATATAAAGCATGTTTAAAAAGTAATGAATGAACGAATAATCCAATTAAAGTCAACACTCTCCTGGACTTGGATACTGGGCCGGTTACGCTGTGTACGTGTTGTTGATCTTTTTATACATCTTCATAATTATTTATCAAATTGTATATGTTAAGTTCCATATAGCTACATTATGTATGAAGGCTTAACTCTGAAAAGTGCCAGTGCGGTTTTTTTACGGTATAATGTCATCGTCTGTCTACCTGTCAACTTTCGTAAACAGCTTATTATAAATATCGAATAGATATAATATTTAGCCAGAGATACTAACGTTTCCAGACGAGATAAGGGGGCCCAATGCCTCGACCGAGAGTCCAAAGCCTTCGCTAAGGGTTTGGTTCGGTTTAGTTTTACTTTGTTTAACGTCCTATTAACAGCTAAGTTAATTTAAGGACGTGCCTCTCTATGCGTAATGTGTGTGTGCCGGAGGCAGGGCATATTGATCGGATGCCAACTTTATAGTGCTACCTCACTGAAATACCATGCCGAAGGCACCCTGCACAGTATTTCAACCAGTCACAATATACTGACAACGGGTAAACCAATTGTTGCGATAACCATCCCTTTCGTAAGAGGGATCCGGGAAACTTTTGCCTCTCTAGATGGAAAGAGACGCAATATCAGCACTGCAGTTATTGAAGTAGAAAATCTAAGGAGAAATTAATCATTGTGAAGCCTGTAAACCCCTAGGTTGTCTGTATACATTTCCTGACCTTGACCTACTATTTACTTCATAGAGGTAAAACAGGTTAAATATATTCAAAAGACGTTATCAAATTCCCCTTTTTTCTATAAACAGCTTCTTATTAGTGACCTACAGTCCTACGGTAACGCTAGGGTAAATAAGACAAGTCTGACTCGGCAAAGATCCATTAGGTGAGTAATATCAGAGTCGACTTCTTGTTTTTTTTTATGAAGTTTGTTTAAATGAATTTTATCTTGACACACTTGATGATCACACATGTCTTAGGAAGTCAAATGATCGATGCAGTCACGTTGGGCCTCTTTGGTGACTGTATAGGAAGTCATGTGATCGATTCAGCCTTATAGGGCCTCTTTGGTGACTGTTTAAGAAGTCATGTGATCGATACAGTCCCTTTGTGCCTCTTGTTTATGTCCACTTAATGATTTGAATCACTTTTTGTTATTTCTATTTGGCTTCCACACCACCCATTGGGACTGATTTAATGTAAACAATATGGTTCATTACTGTAGTGATAGTCCTAGTGACAACCAGTAACTGTACTAGTGACAACAAATGACAGTCCTAGTGACAACCAATGGCTGCCCTAGCGACAACCAATGACTGCCCTAGCAATAACAAGTGATAGTCCTAGAGACAACCTGTGACAATCCTACTTACAACCGGAATCTGTCCTAGTGACAACAAGTGACAATACAAATGACAACTAGTAACTATCCTAGTGACAATCAGTGACATTAATAATGACAACCAATGAATGTCCTAACGACAACTACATGTAGTAACTGTCCTAGTGACAACCAGTCACTGTCTTAATGGCAAGCAGTTACTGTCCTAGTGACAACTAGTGATAGTCCTCGCAAAAACAAGTAACTGTCATAGTGACAACTAGTAACTGACATAGTGCAAACCAATAACTGTCCTTGTGACAAGAAGTGACAGTCCTGGTGACAACCAATGACTGTCCTAGCGATAGTAAGTGATAGTCCTAGACTAGAGACAACCTGTGACTTTCCTATTTATAACCGGAATCTGTCGTAGCAACAACAAGTGACAAAACTAGCGACAAACAAATAATGTCTTAATAACAACTATTGACAGTCCTAGTGACAACCACTGACTGTCCTAGTGACGATTAGTGACTGTCCTAGTTACAACCAATGATTGTCCAAGTGACAACCAGTAACTGTCCTAGTTACAACCAGTAACTGTCCTAGTTATAACCAATAACTGTCCTAGTGACAACCAGTTACTGTCCTTGTGACATGAAGTGAGAGTCATAATGACAACCGATGTCTGTCCTAGCGATAATAAGTGATAGTCCTAAAGACAACCTGTGAATTTCCTCGTTACAGCCGGAATCTGTCCTAGCGACAACCAGTGACTGTCCTAGTGACAACGTGTGACAGTGCTAGTGAGGTTGTACGCTGTGTACGTGTTGTTAAGCTTTTTATACATCTTCATAATTATTTATCAAATTGTATATGTTAAGTTCCATATAGCTACATTATGTATGAAGGCTTAACTCTGTAAAGTGCCAGTGCGGTTTTTTTTACGGTATAATGTCATCGTCTGTCTACCTGTCAACTTTCGTAAACAGCTTATTATAAATATCGAATAGACATAATATTTAGCCAGAGATACTAACGTTTCCAGACGAGATAAGGGGGCCCAATGCCTCGACCGAGAGTCCAAAGCCTTCGCTAAGGGTTTGGTTCGGTTTAGTTTTACTTTGTTTAACGTCCTATTAACATCTAAGGTAATTTAAGGACGTGCCTCTCTATGTGTAATGTGTGTGTGCCGGAGGCAGGGCATATTGATCGGATGCCAACTTTATAGTACTACCTCACTGAAATACCATGCCGAAGGGGCACAGTATTTCAACCAGTCACAATATACTGACAACGGGTAAACCAATTGTTGCGATAACCATCCCTTTCGTAAGAGGGATCCGGGAAACTTTTGCTTCTCTAGATGGAAAGAGACGCAATATCAGCACTGCAGTTATTGAAGTAGAAAATTTAAGGAGAAAGAGACGCAATACCAGCACTGCAGTTATTGAAGTAGAAAATCTAAGGAGAAAGAGACGCAATATCTGCACTGCAGTTATTGAAGTGGAAAATCTAAGGAGAAAGAGACGCAATATCAGCACTGCAGTTATTGAAGTAGAAAATCTAAGGAGAAATTAATCATAGTGAAGGCTGTTAACCCCTAGGTTGTCTGTATACATTTCCTGACCTTGACCTACTATTAACTTCACAGAGGTAAAACAGGTTAAATATATTCAAAAGACGTTA